TTCTTCCTCCACCCCACTAGAACATGGCTTCTCCCCACACCTTCTCAGGCAGGTCCTTGCTGTTCTTCGGTACCTGACCTTGCGTTATTGGTGGAGTTTCTTATCAGAGGAAGAGTTCAGGTGACCTTGAGTGCATCATTCTCCCTCTCTAAGCTTCTTAGTAAAAGAAGGGGTTTAACTAGATGGTCTCCAACCAAGCCCCTTCTAGCATTTCTATTAATGGATGGAATCAGACACTACATCTCTCCCATCTCCTTACTATCATGCTGGCTTCAGGTTTCTGTCATGCCCTCTATCTTTCCTTTTCTCCCCAGGGCTGCCATGTATGGTGGTGGAGGGTATTCACTGCACAATGACACCCAGCCAAGGGAGTAAGTGTAGGCTCAAAGCCAGCCCACACTCTGCTCAACGAGCCATGTGCCCTGTCTGACTCAGGATTTCATTTACCCAGAGTAAAGAACACATTTTTCTAGTTTATTCTAAGGTGCAGGATGGGCAGCCGCCACTGTCCTGTCCCACGCAGAGTCCTTCTTCTGGTCTTCTGTGTCCCTTTTCTTCTACCATCACGAGTCTGACCCAGGGCAGATCTGAGGGCAACATTTACACGAAGTGTCTTGGGAGGGTGGGTAGCAGCTAGCTCCTCTGTGAGGATCTCAGCCTCCTAAACCCCGTGGTGCTTTTCCTCTCCTTATCAATGCTGCAAGTTGCCTCTCGAAATTGCTCTGCCATCATTAACACTGCGGTTAGGTCAGAGGAGAGCGTGTTTGCAGTCTTGGATGGCAAAGGCAAAGCGCTGATGCTGATTATTCCAGATCTTCTGGGCATGGCCCATTCCGTGCTCACAGTTCTTAATCAGAGGGACGAGCGCTGGTTACGTGGCCGGGGGGGCCAGGGCCATGGTTGGTTCCGATCTGGCTGCCGGGCCCAGACAACACGTCCCCAGCACCTGCTGGCCTGGCGGCTGGCTTGCCTGAGCATCCCAGGTGACCTCAGCAACTCAGCACTAGCCGATCCCTCAAAGGAGAAATGACCCATCAAACAGCACGCCTGCTGGCTGCTTTTGAATCATCGGCAATTCATTTGAGCAAGGACTGTGAGCATTTTGCTCTGGGCCTGACCAGCCAGCTTTGTGTTCTGCGGCTCACTCTGTTGGCCACGTAGCTGAGGGGGGTCATCCAGACCACCCGTCCTTCAGTGTCTCCTTCTGAAAAGCTCCTGCGCCTGGAGGAGGCCTTGCATCATGGCCCCTCACCTCCGGGCCTCGAGTTCTACTGCCTCCACCTTCACCCTGTGCTCCAGCCACATCGTCACAAAACAGCAACCGTCAGCCACTGAGCCAATGACTGACCAAAAATTGGTGTATCCACACCCCTGCTCCCTCACCCCTGGGGCAGGCTAAGTTTGAGGCATGTTTTACCTAGTTTGCCAGAGCTCCTCAGTGGGAATGAGCCCTAGCTGCCCAGTGATAACCGGCTTGCTAAACCACCCGTATTGCCTACTTACCTGTCTTACCTCCCCACAGGGTGTTTCCTTCATCTCCCAAATAAACTACTCACATTCAAATCTTTCTCTCAGGGTCAGCTTCTGGGGGGACCAAACAGACATCATCTTCAATGCCCTTCTCAAGATCATGTTTTTTTAGAGAGAGAAAAAGAGCACGCTCATGGAAGGATGGGGGGCAGAGGGAGAGGGAAAGAATCTTAAGCAGGCTCCACACCCAGCACGGAGTCTGATGCGGGGCTCAGTCTCACGACCCTGAAATCATGACCTGAGCTGAAATCAAGAGTCAGACGCTTAACTGAATGAGCCCCCCAGGAACCCCCAGATCACCTCTTTTTGCAGTTTCCCCTGACTGTCCCTTGTTTCCACTCCTGAGGCAGAACTGTTGGCCACTCTTCTCCGTGCCCAGGGCCTTTATACCTACATCAGCAGCACCCCTCATGCTGCACTGTGGCTTAAATGTCTGCATGTCCTGGGACCCCTACTAGCCTGTGGACTCTGGCAACAGAATCTTTCTTGCCTCTTTATGCTCGAGCCTAGGACAGCCCCTGGCACAGAACAGGTACCCAAGACAATGTTTTGCCAAAACCCAGCAGTGGAAATGCAATGGCTGAGAGAGAATGCAGAGAAACAGACAAGTAGAGACTCCTTCCAGAAAGAGGCCCTGAGGCTGTTCTCCCAGATGCTGTCATATTACAAGGTAACATGATAGAGCTTCAGTCTCACTACTCACCTGCTAAACAACCTGCAGTGGCTCCCTATGGTTGGGAATAGGCGCCTGATTTCATACATGGTTTTTAAGACCATCATCTGGCCCCATCCCAAGAGGCAAACTTGGGTCCCAACGACCAGGGTTCAAATTCTCACCCTACGAGTTCCCACCTGGTATTCATGGGCAAGTTCCTTAGCCTCTCTGGCCACTAGCTTCCTTATTTATTAAATGCAGATAGTAATGCCTCACACCTATAATATTTTGAGAGTTTAAAATCATATATGGTCCTTGTGAGCTATACTAAAACCACTGAATTGTATACTTTAAAATGGTGAATTCTAGGGGCGCCTGGGTGGCTCAGTTGTTAAACATCTGCCTTCGGCTCAGGTCATGGTCCCAGGGTCCTGGGATCGAGCCCCACATCGGGCTCCCTGCTCGGCGGGAAGCCTGCTTCTCCCTCTCCCACACCCCCTGCTTGTGTTCCCTCTCTCGCTGTGTCTCTCTCCGTCAAATAAATAAATAAATCTTTAAAAAAATAAAAATAGGGGCGCCTGGGTAGCTCAGTCATTAAGCGTCTGCCTTCGGCTCAGGTCATGATCCCAGAGTCCTGGGATCGAGCCCCGCATTGGGCTCCCTGCTCGGCCGGGAGCCTGCTTCTCCCTCTCCCACTCCCACACTGTTCCCTCTCTAGCTGTCTCTCTCTCTCTCTCTGTCAAATAAATAAAATAAAATCTTTAAAAATAAATAAATAAAAAATAAAATAAATAAATAAAATGGTGAATTTTACTGTATGGGAACAATATCTTAAAAAACAAATTAAGCATGGTGTCTAGGCAGGAGTAGGCTCTTTGAAAATAAAACGGTGGTTATCAAGAAGTTTCCCAAGTGGCCCTAGCAGTGGGCCAGGCACATAGTAGGTATTCAGCAAATACTGGTGGAATGAATGGATAACATATTCCACAAGTTTGTTTGGAACATTGCCTAGGAGAGCTATGTGGGGGGTGAAAGGGGGGAGGGCATAGAAATTACAAGCCCAGTATTGCATCTCTCAGGAAAGGAGGCCAGAATTATTCTCTGGGGAGATAGGGCCACAGGCCCAAACAGAGAGTGGGGACTTCAGACCCACACCTGCCCCACAGCCATGGGGATCCCAGCGCCTCTCCCCCTTGGTGTCAGTCCCAGGTAGCAGAAGGAGTCCAGTCGAACCGGAGCCGTGGGTAAACGGGAAACACTTAACCTGGGCCAAGGAATATGTTCTTATATTCATCTTTGACTCTGGCTGTTTCTAATGTTCTGAGAATTGACTTCAACACGCCAGTTAGGGCCCAGCTGCCAAAGGCATGGCCCAGAGGGCGTGGCTTTTCGGGGTCCAGCCTCAGGCACTCGGCATCCCCGGGTCCTTCCCCGGCGTCGTGCGGTGGGAGCAGAAAAGGGGGCTCCATCTCAGCAAAGCTTGCATTGAGGCTGAGGACGGGCTGCGGGGGATTTTCTGGAGGCAAGTCTATGCGTGCAGCCCCGGGGAGATACCACAGCGTGGCGACCCTGGGTCTGGAAGAGCCATGCTGAGGCAGGGTGGGGCCTGTCCTGCCCTGAGGCCATGAAGGGCTTGGTTCCGGAGTGGGAGGCGCCTGAGAGGTGCCTCCACTGTCCCCTCGCTCTCAGGGCAGGGATCAGAGCCCAGCACACGGCAAGCGCCTACTCGGTGCTGGTTGGGTAGGAGCCCATGGAGGTCCGGCCACCCTCTCAGTCTGGTGGAGGAAGCTTCTAGACCCCAGAGGCTGTTTCAGCTGTGTGATCACGACAGGCCGGGGATGGGGAGGGAGCTGACGTGTGGCTTAGGTGGCTGACTCGGGGTGGCCAGGCTCGGCGGGAGCCAGAGGAGGATGAAGGAACAACCACGCACAGACCCTGCCTAGGCCCAAAGGCCCTCCCTGGGAAACCGAGGAGGCCCCTCTGGGCACTGGGGTGGCCCCCACACACCTCCAGAAGAGATGTGATTCTGTTTATAGACCGACACCCGCCCCGCCCCCCCCACCCCACGTGGGGCGCACCCTCAGCAAAGAGCTCCCCAAGCCTCTTGGGGGAGGTGATGTCTCTTTTGCGCAGGTCGCTCCCACCTAGCTCCGCACAGACCCTTCCCAAACAGACGCCGGGTGGGTCACAAAACCCTCTCTCTCCGCTAGTCGGAAACCCCTGAGGGGGTGGGGTGGGGTGGGGTGGGGG